CAACTTAAAAATCGTTCGGTGTCCATGTGCAAGAATGTACGACTTTTATGATTTTTACACAACTTTTTGTGAGATTTAAAATGTTTGAAGGTACGGGGACAAAGGCACGGCAATGTTTTTTGACCAAAAGAGTAGAAGGATGAGAATATTGTCTCTCTTTTTCCCTTAAGACCAAAGAAATGTGACCAAAAAAGTAGTTGAATGAGAAAATTGTCTCTCTTTTTCCCTTAAAGACGATCAAATGATGATTTATCATCAAGGCCTATAAATAAGGTCAGATAGGAAGATCAGCTGTTTCTCATGTATGCTGTCAAAATACATTATTGTGAACATGATGCAATAATAAGTTGATGTGTCAAAACAAAAACAAATGTTTTTTTATTCGACAACCTGTCAAATTTTATCTAGTAATACTTCTCACGGTTGGCAACATTGCTCGTCGAATTCGAAAGTAGAAAAACAGTTAAGCGAATAGTCAGCTGGGCTAAGTGAAGTACCTATTTATAGTGCCATTATTGTGAATGGATTTCCATTATGAAAACGTTAACATTTTTGACATTATCTTTAAGAAAAAAAGCTGTTGTTGCTTTTTGGGTGACAGACAATGATTTATTATAAAACGCGTTTGGTGTAAATACGCCCTTATGCACGAATGGTTTTGTGGTTGTCAAATTCAATTCTTTTGCAGTGTGGTCAACTACTGTTATTCAAAAAATCGCCAAATTATGAAAAATGTATGAAAGAGTTATTATTTTGATTTATCATAGGGAATATTGTTATTAAAGATTGTTATTGAATAATTTATGTATTTTATACAATATTTCAGATATGTTTAAATTGTTGTTTTATAAAATTTTGCTTAATAATACATTTATCACATTGTTTTCTATTAAGGTTATACATAATAATTTTTTAATTTTATTTTTTGTATAAAGGTTTGATGTTAATATAAAAAATTTCTACAGATATAAGCCAAATTATGTGAATGCTTTATTTTTTGTAGTATTATTTTAAAAAAGGCCAAATCATTGTTATTTTCATTTATAGTTTTTAACAAAAAAATTGATTCTAATACTTTTAGGCGGCAGGCAAAAGTGGGGGTAGGCAGTAGTTAATAAAAAAAGGTTTTGATATATTGATTTTTGGAAAAAACAATTTTGCGGGTTTATGCTATTGGTTTGTTTTTTTTTTCAGGGGGTGGTGGGCTCTTAATCAAATACATTTAAATTGTCTTCATTTTTGGTGATCTTAAAAAAATTATATATATACAAACGTCTTTTGTTCGAAGGAAGGTTAAATTCAAAATCAAATTTTGTTGGTAGCATTTTATTTAGATTTTTTGGTTCAAACGAAAAAAAAAACAACAAAATTATGTTGTTTATATGTGAATAGGATGCGATTTTTGGTTTTATTTTTTTTGGTTTTTTTTTTTGAAGGAAGGGCTGAAGGATTTACATTTATAAAAATAAAACAATATTTATATAAATAAAAAAAACAAATTAAAAATAATATTTTAAATACTAAAAAAATAAAAGAAAAAACAAATTTTATTTTGTTTTTTAAATACTAATCGATTCCTTTTTTTCTTGGTTTGTATGCAAAAAAAAACTTCCTCTCTTTCAAATGAAAAAAATTAAATAAAGAAAATTTGAAAATAAAGAAAATATTACATACACACATACAATTCTCAAGGGCTAGGCCATATATGTTATAAATAGCATACACATTTTATATAACATAATGGAAATAATATGAAATTATTTTTTCATTTATATATACTTTTGGAAAATACAAACAGAAAGAGAATAAGAAATGTGAAACAGTGAAGAGAAATGAAGAAAACACAGAGGAGAGAGAAGAAAAACCATAAACATTTATACAAATATTTATATACAATAATAAGAATGATACTAATTAGGAAAAAACATGCACTCATTTCCTTTTTTAACAACACCTATTCCAAAGCAGAAACAATCAACAATCACAAACAATAACAATTCATCAAGAATAATAATTGATATGATTTTGTAAATATTGTGTTCGAAATTACTTTTTTCTTCTTCTTTAAAATATCATTTGTTCAATTTAAAAGGCATTTAACTTTACTTTAATCTTTATTTTCTTTTTTCGTTAAAATTAAAATTACAAACAAAAAATATTTAAACAAAAAAACACACACAGAGTTTAATTTAACGGAAATTCTTAATATTTAGCAAAGGAAGAATAATAAAAAAATCATTAAAACAAAAAATGAAAAGAAAAAAACTAAAAGTTAAGCAAACAAAATTACAAATTTGTTTACTTTCTTTTGGTGTTTCAAAACTAAAAATTAAAATTATCATTATGATTATTATATTTAATATATATTGAATTTATTGTTCTCTTTTAACATTTTTTCCGTTTGTTTCTCTAAGCATAGAAGTTGTTTAAAAAATAATTAATAAATTAAAAAAAAACATAAAACAAATTAAACTAAGGGAGACATCATACAAAAATTTTTACTAAAAAATAATGTTAACAAGTTTTCGAATTTTAAACATAAAAATTTTACAAAGTTTTTTTTCTTAAGAACAAATAAACAAAATATTAATGTTAGACTATGAATATTAAAAAAAAAAAAAATAATTAAATATCTAAAATTATTATGTGTTAGGCAAAGGGTTAGAAAAAGATTCGATCAACTGAAAGTTTAAACAAAGTCAGACAAATTGAATATGAGGCGTACACACAATCTTCAGGCAATTTTCAATTAATTTTAATGTCAGAAATGTATTTAATTTAGTTTAATTATATTTTTTTGGAAATATATCACAAATCGTCCTTCTGATAATATGATTTATAGTTTAAGCTTTTCTTTACACTGGGGTTTTTTCACCTATCTTTAAAAGAATTTAAAATTAAATTCATTTAAATAATGCATTTTTATTAAACTCCCATTTAATGTAAACATAACCTAAAACACCCTACACATTGACACCTAAATTATGCTCCATTAATTTGACGTGTAAACAAGGAACTTGATTTCTTAAATGACGTGTTTTAATTAAACTCAATTGTATGTAAACATGAGAGACAGAGAAAGAACATTTCAAATTGTATAAGAACATTTGATAGAGAGAGAGAGATCAGCTGCTGATGATTACAAATACGTATTTTTTAATTTTCTAATTAAAACACGTATAGTGTAACGTTTTTTGATTGTCAAAGGCATTCATTTTATTCAGCTGTCATCGTAAAACTACGTTGACGAGAGAATAGTCAGCTGTTGCATACATTTGATTGTCAAAAATGTCTTGTTTGAAATACTTAAATGAAACACGTGAAGTGTAACATTTTTTTTAATGTCAAAATTCATTAATTTTTATCAGCTGTCATTGTATAATTACAATAAATAGCTAATTGTCAAAAATTTTCTTGTTTTGAATTACTAATTAAAAATGTTTTTATTTATATTTTGCAAAATAGATTTGTTTTTATTTAAAACGGTTTGTTTTCGTGTTGGCTTTTAACTCGCCAATTAAGACAAAAAACGCGTAAAGCGTAACATTCATTGACTGTCAAGTGTAAGCTATCATATAGCAACACTGGCGAGACATCAGCTGTTGCATTCATAGACTGTCAAAAATGTAAACAACCGCCATCTGTTGTCATCTACCACAACTATATATAGTGAAATATTAATGGAATTGATATGAATTTAAATGAATTGGAATAAATTATTTATCTACAAGAATATTAGGTATGTTCAGACTCAGAAATAAATATATGTATATATAATAAAAAACCTATTGTCAGAATAGAATGAAAATTGTTTCTTATATTGTTTTTTGGAATTGGAAACGAGGGATTGGGAAATCCAATAAATATTTAAAAAAATATATATATATATATATATAGAAGCATTTAATTAGAACATAAATCATATTATTTTAACAATCTCTATTTTCATTAATCATTTGATCCAAAGCAAATGATAGAAATAAAGTTCAAAAATAATTAAGAGGGACGAAGAATGGTTTTTTAAAATATCTTGAAAAATGAATTAAAATATTTAGGAATTTAAAAAGTTTATTATTTTTTTATGGAAATAAAAATTAATAAAATATTAATAAATTATAAAAACTAATGACGAATTGAATGCATTCCCCATATTCTCTATAATATTGTTTACATGTTGTGTTTATATTTTATGCAAAAAAATTAATAAAATGTAAACAATATTTTTTGGTTGTCTGACAGTGTCGTGTGTGTGTGTGTTGGCCAGTATAACAGTTGAAGACAAAAGTGTGCTATAGAGAAACAGTATTACAGATGTAAATGATAACGAACAAACAGATAGATATATGTATGTAAATGTAGACAGAGAGAGAAAAAAACTAATTGTAATTATAATAACTAAGACACACAGAAATTATAAATTAAACACAAATAATAAAAAAAAATTATAATAATAATTAAACAAACAAAAAATTAATAAAAATTAATAGTACACAATAGTAGTAGAGTAGTTTCCGTGTATAAGTAGTAATAGTATTTTTGATAGATTAATATAATATATAACTAAAACTAATTATTGTATAGATTGAGAGAGAGTGAGTGAGTTAAATTTAATAACATAAATTTTAAAATAAGAATAATTTTTAATAATAATAACAATCATAATAATCATAATTATAATAAGAGTGTATGGTGGTAGTGGTGTGGTGGTTGGTTGGTGTTCGTGTGTATAAAATCATTTTCTTGTTTTATTTTTAACTTTTTCGGGGAGGAGGGAGAAGAATTTGTTTGGTTTTTTTGTATGTTCGAATCATGAATTCATTGTCTTCGAATTTCGACAATGCAATGCAATTTCAAAATAACAGTAAGTAGTAGTTGTGGTAGTGGTAATAGTAGTAGTAGTAGTTGAGTGTGTGTGAGAGAGAGAGTGAAAGACAAAGATTGATTGATTTATTGGTTGGTTGTTTGTTTTTGTTTTGTTTGGTTTTAATGTTTTTTCTCACCTGGTAAATTTGGTAGCGGTTTGGCGTGCTGAGTGCCACGAGCGCTGGGACGTATTTGTCCCACCCCACGGACCCCCCCGATTGCTGGCTGAGCCCCCTGAGCGGTGGCCCCCCGTTGAGCTGCCACCGCCGCCGCCACCACCGCCGCTTGAGGGGCCCCCTGACGATTGATGTTGCCACGGAGCCCAACGGTTCGGCCACGCGCCGTGATTCCACGCCCACGGCCAACCCCCTGTACATTGTACAAAATGCACATACACACATACATTTACAAATAAATATATATATATTCAAATATATATATTTCAACGAGTAGAACCAAGAAGCCATGGAGTAGTGGGTAGAATGCCATCATAATCGTCGTCATCATCATCATCATCATGATCGCGTCATCATCATCAATTACCATCATATTTCGCCGACATCCATTGGGAAATTGTAATTTGGTGGCCATTGACAGATCCGAGAGTTAGGTCCACATTAAGCCATTATATATCATTCGTTCAAACCATCATCATAATTATAGCATATATTCGTATTCGTATTATATAAAGTATATATATGGATCGCCAAGTATTATTTTTACAATTTTGGTTTGGGGGGGGTGGTATTAATTTTGTTGTTGTATTTTTTTTTGGTTGTATATAAATTAATATTAACAAAATAAAAATTTGGAAACATTTTTTGATTCATATTTATAAATTGGTTTGGAAACGGGAGAGAGACAGAGGAGGGAGAGGTTCGGGGTGTCAGGATATTTCAATAAAAATAACAATGAGTTTGTTTTGATGAGTTGAGAATTTTGTTGCAAGATTTTTGTGGGTGGAGAAGAGGTGGGCAATTATATGAGTTTTGGATAATCATAATTTTGTTGTTTTTTGTAAGTTTTTCGTTTTTGTTTAATTGTTTAAGACCAACGCAATAATTATTATTATAACAATTTGTTAAGAATTTAGGGTAAAACATTATTTTTTTGAACGGTTTTGATGCATTCAATTCAATTCAATTGTGTGTGTGTGAAGGGGAGATATATAGAGAGAGACATAACATAATATTTTTTTGATATATGTTTTGATTATTATATATAAATTTGATTTGACGAACATATATATAATTTTTTTAAGACGATTTTATCGTTTTGCATATTACCGACATTGTTTGATTGATTGAGTTTGAGATTGAGAGAGAGAGAGTATTTAACATAAAAAAGAAAAAAAGAAAAAGAAAAAAAACAAAATCGATAATGAACGCGTTAGAGATTTGGTTTTTAGTGTTTAAGTTTTTTTGTTTTGTTTTCTTTTTTAATATATATAGAAAAAAACAAATTGTAGTAAAAAAAACATATTCATATATAAGAGTATAATACAATGAAAGTTTTTTGTTAAGTTTTCATTTTTTGTTCATCATACTAAAAATTATTTTCTTGATATTTGGTTGTTTTAAACTAAATTCAAATAATAACAAAAAATACAAATATATATAATATATAAAAAGTGATAAAAACAAATGTAAATGTAAATTTTATAAAAAATAAATCAATTCAATGATTTGGTATTTTTCGTGTGTAAACAACAATTTGTTTTCTCAATTTGCAACATAAACAACTTATGAAAAATATATATATTAAAAACAAAAATAATAAAAAGAAATCTAATAATACAAAATAATTAACCTAAAACGTATATATTCTAGCTTGTTGTGAAATGTTCTAGTAAAAAAGCAAATATATAAAGCAATAAAAAAATAAAAAAAGCATTTTGTGTAAACAAAATGTAGGGAATACAATTTATTTTTTTTTTTTTGTGGTTTTCACTTAAAATTTATTTCCAAATACATATTTTTAGTATATTTTTTATTTTTGGATTATTTTATTCCCTACATAATTAAATATATTTAATAGCATTTAATTAAATTAATAAATAATTGTTTTAATATGTAAAATAATAAGCAGTGTCTTTTGAACATTGTTTGGTAAAAATTGCAATTTTTTATGTAGCATACTTTAAGGGTGATACTTCAAAGTTATCAATTATTTTATTTAAATTTTCCAAAACAGGATTTTAAAATAATACTATTTTAAAATTTGGAAGTATATTTGAGTTGATGGTTTTCTGATTTAGTAAGGCTATAGGATTTGAATTTAATTTACAATATTATTTTAGTGGTTTAAATCAAAGAATTCACAATTAGTTGAATTTATTAAAATGTCTCAAATGTGGATTTTTTGAACGATTTTTTTAATTTAAACAGATATTAGGGTGGCCAAGAATCTAACATTAATTGGCAAACAATTATTAGGGAGGATTTAAATATATATTTTTTAGGTTCAGATTCAAATATAGTTTCCAGGTGAAGTCAATGTGCATTTTTTTGCATACTTTCAGGATGTTATTTTAAAAGGATCACCGATTTCATATTTTTTAATGATTGATTTTAATTGTGACTATTTTAGAATTATTTTTGATTTTTTTTTAATTTAAAAGGATAATAGGATTGCAATCTAACATGAATTGGCAAACATTCTTAGTGAGGTCTCAAATATGTATATTTTTTGACGTTCCGATTCAAATATAGCCTTCCAATGAAGTCAATGTTTATTTTTATTGCATACTTTTAATGGTTAATTTTAATTATGAACCTTCCAATTATTGAAGTTTTTTTAATATAAAAGGCTATTAGGTGTGACAAGAAGCTAACATGAATTGGCAAACAATCATTAGGGAGGATTTAAATATATTTTTTGAGGTTCCGATTCAAATATAGATTTCCGGTGAAGTAAAATTTTCATTTTTATTGCATACTTTCAGGATGCTAATTTTAAAAAGGTCACGGATTTCATATTTTTAATAGCTGATTTTTATTGTGAATATTTTAGAATTATTTTTCGATTTTTTGAAGATTTTTTTTATTTTAAAGGATACTAGTGTTACCTATAATCTAACACGAATTGGCAAACAATTATTAGTGAGGACTTAAATATGAACATTTTTGGATATTCCGATTCAAATATAGCTTTTCGGTGAAGTCAATGTTTATTTTTATTTCATACTTTCAGGATGTTACTTTAAAATTAAAATTTTAATTGTGAATATTTTAGAATTATTTTTTGATATTAGGTTTTGTCAAGAAGCTAGCATGAATTGGCAAACAATTATTAGGATTTAACTATATTTTTTATGTTAGATTTCCAACATAGTTTTCATGTGAAGTCTTCAAACTCTCATGTTTAGTATACTTTTAGAATGCCACTTCAAAATAGTCATGGTTAATTGAATTGTGAATATTTTTTGATTTTTTGATTTAAATATATATATAGTGAAGTTAATTTTAATTTTTATAGCATTCTTTAAGGATGCCTCTTCAAAATAGTCACTGATTTCAGATTTTTCAATGGTTTAATTTTATTTGGATTTTTTTATAATTATTTTGGAGTTCTAGAAACATCATTTGAAATTGGTGTGAATCGGTGAAGTAATGTTAATTTATTACAGCGTACCTATGGATGCAATTTAATTTTTTTATATTTTAGAAATTATAATTTTTAATAATTATATTCAAATGACAGAACATGAAATTTTTTTCAGAACACTTTTAAAAAGTATTCACACAGAAATCATGAAAATTTTAATTATTTTTTTTTATTAATAATAATATTCAAAGGGTTTAAAATTCTAAAATGTAAATTTTTATTATTAGGGTATACTTTAAGGATGCAAGTTAAGACATCATTTGAAAGATTTCCATATGTGGATTTTTAATCGTGATTTTTTAAATAATTATTTTCAAATTCTAGAGACATTTTAATTGTATATCGTCTGATTTATTTGATCCATAATAACTAACTTCTTTCTGAAATTGGTGTGATTCAAATGAAGTAATGTATAATTATTACAGCATACTTTAAGGATGCAATTTAATTATTTTTTTTATATTAAAAACCATAGTTTTTGATAATTATTTTAAAAAGACAGAACATGACATTTTTTCAGAATACTTTTAACAACAATTCGGGTGTTGTTGGTGAAATTTTTAAATATTGATTTAAATTTCTTTTTTAAATTTACAAAACATTGTTCAAAAGACACATTTAAAGCAATAAACTTAATAAATAATAAAATTAAACAAATATTTTGTTTTATTTTTTATATGTATATAGAAAAAATAAAATAGCACTTTGGTATTCAGCTCTTGTAAAATTAAAACAAAAAAAAATTAACAATAAAAATGTAGCTTAAAATAAATAATAATAAAAAAGCAATTACAACAAAATTAGTTGAACTTAAAGCAAATAACAAAAATAATATTAATAAATTATAATGATAATAAATAATATAAAATAATTAAAAATCACAAAGCAAAGCGGCGTTAGTTTGAAATTAAAAATAAAGCAATGAAAAAAGTGCGCAATAAAAAAATTGTATTAAATAAAAAAGCCTTTTAATATAAAAAATAGGAACTATTGTGGTTGGTTGTTTGGTGTTAGTGAAAAAATGGGAATGTCAAATTGTGAATGTTAAATAAAAACATAAATCGGTTAGTAAGTATGTGTTTGAGATTTGAAATAAAATCTATATAATGGTTGGATGGATGGAAGAATGAATGGTTGGAACTATGGTTTGGTTCTTTGGTTGAATGACTGCAGTGATTTGATTATTTGATTTTATGGTTTTTTGTATTTTCGTCTGGGTTATGGTTAATCTTGGTCTATTGGAGGAAACTATTGCGGATTTGAAAATATATTTATAACAGACAACACACATTGATTGCGGAACTGGTTGGCTGCTGACTGATTGACTGACTGACTAACTGTGACACTGTTCATTGTAATGAATTTGAAAAAAAAATGCTTTGTCAATTTTTAATTTACAATAAAAAAGTTTCTTTTTTTAGTTTTTTGGTTTGTTTTTACATTAATTTTGAAATAATGGCCTAAATTTTACTAAAAACAAAAGGTAATGAAACGAATTTTGGACACACTATCTAAAAATGTGTAGGATAATCCATAATGGCAAAATGTTGATTGCTGCTGTTGAATTTTCTTTTTTGGTTTTTTTGTGGTAATAATAATGATTGTGGTGTGGTGGTGTTGTAAAATAGTGATGAACAAATTTGGTTGGTTGTCCGTGTACTTTTGGTATTTCTTTTTTGTTTGTTTGTTTGAATTTTGAAAAAAGTAACATGTGGAAAAACAAAAACAAATACATTAAAATATAAAATTAAGAAAGTTTTTTTTTTCTTTTCAAAACAAAAAAAGATTACAAAGTATCAACAAAAAAATTAAAACAAGAGACAACTAATTTAATTTAATTAGAAAAAAAAGAAACAAAAAAAGTATAGAAATAAAAACAAAAAAATAATATGTTTAATAACCCACCACATTTGTACGTGCTGTTCTCGGCAAACCACCGGCGGCGCCGGCAACCGGACCCCCACCACCAATGGCACCGGGTGGTGGCAATGGCGCCACACTGCCCGGTGGATAATCAAAGAAATATTCTCCATCATAGGTACGATAGAAATCTTCATAATATGAATCTGGATAGGCACCGCGATAATCCGAATAACCATAAAAGTCATATTCATAATCTATAAAAGCGTTTGGTAGTAGTTGTTGTTTGTTTAGGTAAAAAAAGAGGATAATAACAAAACACAAGTGTTGGTTTTTTTGTTTGTTTGAATAGTTTTGATAATTTTTGTATATTTTTTTTGGTATTGTGTTCGAGAGAGAGAAAGGTATTAAAGCCAAAGTTAAGTTGGAAAGAAAAATAAAAACAAAATTTGCCAAAAAAGATTATGATAAAGAAAAACAAAACAATAATTATTAAAAACCATTATAAATCAAACATTATTTAAAATTAAAAAAAAAACTTAATGAAATAAAAAAACTAGTAAATATTTAACTACATTAATTAACAATTAATTTCCAATTTACCGCGTTCTATAAAATTGTAATAACAAAAGTGATAAAAATGTATATTGTTTATGTTTCCTAAAGGATTGTATTTTGTAATATTATTGAAGTCTTCATATTATAATATTGAAGCCTTAACAATAAAAAATTTCAACAGAGGGATATCAAAATTGTTCAAATTTTATTGTGTGCATTTTTTTAATTGGAGTCCTACTATTAGAAAAATAACGTATAGATCTATGCACTTCAGTTTCGTTTAGGGGACAATTAAAGAAAAGTTTGGATCTGAAGCTATTTAAAAATATACTAGGATGGTCAGAGTGCTGCCTTGGACTGGCAAACATGATTTGTCAAGACTATTCATATTAAATAAATTTAAATGTCTATTGGAAATTTTTAAATATTAAATAAATATAGATTTAAATTTAAATATCTATTGGAAATTTTTAAATATTAAATAAATATATATTTTTATTTATATATCAAATGGAAATTTTTCATAATGTGAAGGATTTTCAGTTCTGTAATTTAAATAGTGAATTTTGGACATCATTTCGAGTCGTAGAGGCAGTTGAAAATTACCTTGCCTGACTTGATCTGAATCCTATTAAAATTGCATATAATCGATTCAGATTGTGAATACATATAGCTCTCGGGCGAAATATATTTTTTATAGCATACATTAGGGCTGAGAATTCAAAAATCTCATTTCGGTTCTTTTTAGAAATTGCCTTGGCTGATTTATTTAGCCCAATAACTAACCCTATTAAAATTGATGATAATCGATACATATAGCTCTCAGTTGAAGTACATTTTTATAGCATACTTTAGGGCTGACACTTCAAAAATCAATTACTGTTACAATTAGCATTTTTTTTTATATCGATCCCCAGCCAATACGACTTTTTTAGTTGTTTTTAATTACAAAAGAGAGCTACAACGGATTATAGAGTATATTTAGAAGAGCTTTCCGATTTGTAATTGTGGATATTAGTAAAAAAATCAAAATTCTGTTTCAGTTATATGTGAATTTTTTGAAGTGATTATTTTTTATTATAAATTTTATTAATTACTAGGTAGGCGCTTCAATGAATTTAGCATATTTCTCGGAAGTATTTTCGGGTTGTAATCGTGAATTTGAAAAAAATCAAATATCTATTTTTGAACAGGTGAAATACATTTTTTATAGCATACTTTAAGGCTGACACTTGAAAATCGATTACCGATTATTGATCCTCTTTATGTTATATTTTTAGTTGTTTCAATTATTAAAGAGAGTTATAATAGAGCTATCAGGGGTGAAAATCACAAATGTTCAAAAGTCTCTGTAATAGAGACTTAGTAGAAATTTTTTTATTTTATTAGAGATAATTTTTAATAAAATTCTAAGGAGCGTTATAATTAATTAAATTAGGGTTAAATTATTAAATGTCCAAAACAAAGTCGATTTGACTACAACTGTTTTAAAAGTCTATTGGTGAGAATTTTTCTATTATATTTTTTAAAATAGTTTTTATAAAATTTTCAAGGTTTACAAGAAGTTAATATTGCAATACACATTTTTTATAATATTTAAGGGGGGAGTTAATATTGAAATACCTAAACATATGAAAACAACTTATATATACATTTTTATCACTTTCTCTTTCTACGAAAAAAAAACAAATACTAAAGAAAAACCAAAAAAAAGTTGCTACATGTTCTTTAAAAAAAAACCAATTACTATAACCAAAATTAAATTATATACTAAGATTTTATTTGGTTTTTAAAAACTATATGTTTTTTTATAAATAATATCAATTCGAAGTAAGGGGAGGCTGACTACAAATTATTATTCTTCTTCTTATTTTTCTTTCAGTCTTCAAAAGAACGGGGTACGGGGTAGAGGATACAAGTGTGTGGGAAGAATTTGGCGGTTTTGTGTAAAAAAATAGGGCAATTTGTTTTACAAAAATTCAAATAACAATAATTTGGCCTTGATTTTCATTTACAAAATGGTTAGTTTATTGGTTTTATATAGCAAATGAATTTTATTTGAAAAAAAAACAAAAAGAAATTTAAATATAACAACTAAGTGAAGTGAAAACTTTTATTCCATTTATCAATTGATCAAGAAAAAAAAGGGAAAGAATTAAGAAAGAAAGGAAATGAAAATAAAAACCTTTGTGTATGTTGGCGGTTGTTTTTGGGAAGATAATTTAAAAAAGGAAATCAAAATTTAATTTAAAACGAGTGAGTGCTCCAAAATTTTTTCATTTTATTTATTTATTATTTTTTTTTGTTTGAATATTTTGTTTAAACACTTTAATTGTATGATATATATAATTGTTGTCCATAAATAAATAAATCATGACAACACTCTTCATACCATTATTAGTTTGAGTGTTTTTTTTTTTGTTACACAACAACAATTACTTACCGGCAAAACATCAATAAGTATACTGGGTGTTTAACATTTGCTACACAGAGAACAAACAACAAACACAAAATTGCAACATTTAATTACACAAAAAATAGTTATATTCTTTTTTTTATATTTTTGTGGGTAAAGAGGTTCTTAATGGGTCTGTTGGTTTAATTTTTTTTAATTATTTGTTTTTGTATTTTTTTTTTGATTGGATTTAGGTTTTGATTTTAACGGAAATGAGCTGAGTGTATATTATTTTTTATCAGAGTTTGTTTTTTGTATAATAAAAAAAGTAAATATTTTGCAGACACATTTAGTTTGACATTGAAAAAAATCAAAACGAATATAAAAAAATAACGAACAATTGTATAAATGGAATAAAAATTAACACTTAGAGGTGAATTCTTTTTGGTTTTTTGTTTTGTGTTTAATTTAGTACAAAAAGAATTATTATTTGGAGCATGCAAATTAAGAAGATTGGAAAACAGATGATGATGATAAATATGGAGAAAAAAATCGATGATTTAGTTAATTTTGTTTTTGGTGTTATGTTTCAAACAAAACTAATAATAATAACAATAATTATAATAATTAACTAAACCAAAGGAAAAGACAAGTATAACAAAAAAACAAAGAGGAGAGAAATGAATGACAAAATGAATGTAATGATGATTGATTTGAAAGTTTTACAACAGTGCAAAAAGTCATTAGAAAAATTACATTTATGACGACAAAGAAAATACAACATTTATAGAATTATTAATGATGAAAAAAGCATACAAGAATTTCATATATTAATTTGAGAGAATTAAATTTGGAATGATTTCAAATGAAACAATAGTTAAATGAAAACGAAAAAATAAACTCAAAAAAATACAATATAATATAGAAATGCATAAAAAGCTGAAACTGTTTTTGTTTTTCATTAAACTAAGTAACTAAAAAACAACTAAAAATATAATAATTATATATAAACTATTAATATAAAATAACAATAATAATTAATGTAATAGAGAAATAACAAAATTAGCCCTAATACATTATATATAATATATAAATTAGTACCAACAAAATTAAAATAAATATTGATTTTTCTCAATGATTTTTAGGAATTATATTTTAAATTATAAATAATGCAAAAATAATAACTAAAAACTATGAAAAATTATTTTCCTATATAGAATTTTTTTTCTTTTATGTTGTTGTTGATAAAAATGATTACAAAAAATTTGCTTTCGTTTTTTGCAATGAAATCACATTTGAAAATTTTAATATAGATATATTATCGGTTCATATATGTAGATTAGTTTGTTTAAACGTTTTTCTTCTTCTTTTTCTTTTCTTGCTTATTTGTAAAGAATAAAAAAATATGTTTTTTTTGTTGTTGTTGTTTTGGAATACTATAATACTAATAACAATAATAATTTGTAAAGAAAACAAAATGTTAAGACTTACCATAGTCCCTGGGCATTGGTGTGCGTAAAGGAATCCTTGGAGCACCGGGTAAACGCATGGGCGTACCTAAGGGTATCATGCCAGGATGTGTTGGTGATAGATTTCTGTATGGAGACATTGTTTCAAAGCTTTGTTTTAAAACACACACAAACACACATATTTGTTTTTTTATATAAAATATTTTGTTTTAAGAAACAAAAAAATATTGGATGGACACAGGTTTTGGTTTGGTTCGGTTCAGTTCGGTTCGGTTCGATTGGTAGTAGAAAATTGATATTATTTTGTGGTTGTTGTAGAGTAGTTTAGTAGTCACAACAATCGTTGACAAATAAAAATCAATAAAATTGTGGCAATTGTGGTGGTGGTAGTAGTAGTAGAGTTGGAGGGTAGAGTTCAAGTTTTTATATTCGGTTTTTTAAACGGGCAAAAAATAGAATAAAAATAATAAAAAAGAAAAAGAAAGGATAATTAAAATTAATAAAAATAATTGTGGCTATTGTTAACACAAAATATTGATATGTATATATCAATAGTGTGTATATATATGTATATGTGTAGAGAAGAGAAAGAAACATAATGAACGTGAAGATAGACCGAATTTTTGTTTTGTATATATGTTGCCCTTTGTTTTTGGTTTTACAATATTAAGCAAATAAAATCTGGAAGAGATTTCCTTCCATCAATAGTCAATTTATATTACGACCTAGGTAATGCAACAATGTACCCCATATCCGCTAAAAGAAAACACAATTTTCTTCACTTGCACCATTTACCTAAAATCGGACAAATCTGAAGTGATTTCAACAAAACTTGCCAGAGATTAATTTATATTAATTGCCAGTACATTGTACAAACCTGTGTGCTAATCGGACAAACTTTAGGTCTTAGAGTGCATAATTTACATAAAATCGGACGAAAAACTATATGGGAGCTATACCTAAATTTGAACCGATTTTCATGAAACTTAGTACACATCATTCTAGACGGTATACAGTACGTTATGCAGAATTTCGCTCAAATCGAAAGATATATAGGAACTTTAATGCACAATTTTCATAAAATCGTACGAAAATATATATGGGAGCTATATGTAAATCTGAACCGATTTTCCCCAATTTCAATAAGGTTCGTCCTTGGGCCAAATAAATGAGCTGTGCTAAATTTCATCCAATTCGGATCATTTGTAGTCATTTTTTTAACGAAGGCAACTTTTAGAAGAGCCATTATTGCATTCTATCTTTAAATTAAAAAAATATTGCATACATTTAGGCGCACTTCATAGATACAGTGTCAATGTGCTATTCTAAGTTGTTATTTCTTATTGCTATTTTAAACCCCATTAAAAACTGCAATTGCTTAATATTTAAACGTGTAAAAGGCAACATAACCATATTTTGTAAGATATATATCAGAATATTTGTTTGTTTTTGTGGGGGCCAAGATGTCTTTGTCCAATTGTTGTGATTTTGTAATTTGTGCCAAATCGATTAATTTCTCACAATTTTGTTAACTTCATTGTGTTCTTTTTGGGTTTCTATATTCCATTACAATACTATAACTATTCATATAACTTACCCTACAAGACCAGGACGTCCTTGCATCATTTGCATCATACGGCGTTCACGTGCACGTAATATTTCCTCCTTTTTCTTTTTATCTGATGGTGGTTTTGCCAAAGATACCTTTATTTTTATAAGGGAAATATTATTAGTTTTTTTTTTTTTTGAAGATTACAATTATGTTGGAAAGAAATCTATGGTTCGCAACACCTACCTCCATATTAGAAGCACCAACTTCTTTGCCATTTAAAGCTCTCATTGCCACAACAGCGCTATCACGATCCTCAAAATGCACAAAAGCATAGTCTTTTATTTTCTTAACACGTTCAACTTTGCCATATTGCTCAAATTGTTCCTAGATAAATAAATTAAGATAAGAAATATTATTAATAAAAAAAATAATTAAAAGGAGATAAAGAATAATCAGTACATTAAACAAATAAGAGAATGTGTTATTCCCTGGATAGTACGCAGACATAATCCTACATTTTCATATTCTTCACCATAAGGCGGACATTAAAAAAAAACTAAAATCCATCGGGGCTTTTATATGGGAGTGGGGATATACCATGATAAATACATGTCAGAAGAAAATGAACAATCAGAACATTAAAAATTGAAGAGAATGTCTTATTCTCTGGATGGTACGCGGACATAACCCTACTTTTTATATTCTCCACCATAAGGCGGAAAACCTAAAATCCATCGGCTCTTTTATATAGGCGTGGGAGTGGTATGCCACGCTAAATAGATGACTGACGGAAATGAAATAGGCTACATAGGTTACAAAATTGTTCTAATACTTTACAAATGTCGGTAATGGAGGACATGTATGAACCTCAACATGAATCGATATTGGTGAACTTTATTAAGAAGATTTGAGAGCCAATGAGGACTCTAAATTAGAGGCTATTCGACTGAGGAATGGCATGTCAAAAATACCGAAATTGGAGATACGGTTATGTGGCGGCTATAACAGAACGTGGATCGATATTTATAATTGTTGGTTGGAAGATTACTACCGTCGGTAACACCGACTAACACTTTTTTACTTGGTTTTAGTAGGAAGGACAAAATATGGGATATTAGGGGGTGGATGTATTGTTATATGAGGTCTATAACAAAATGTGAACTCAAATATTCATAATTTTTTGCTACCGTGAAATTTGGGTCATATTGACAATTTTTGAAGACGTGAATCCAAAATACTAAATTAATTTAAATGCGGTGTCCATAAAGTGGACTAATACTGATAATAGTTTTAAGAATCAATCCTACGCCTATTTTGGCATTCGAATTTATCGAAGGGATTTTATACATTTTTTTTTTTAATTTCGAATATATAAAATTTGTTCGGATATCCTCCATTTAACACCGAGTCTTATATAAATCTTCTGAACATACCTTTAATTTATCCTCTGTCACATCCTGTGTTAAGTTTCTAACATACAAAACTTTAACTTTGGACATTGTTTGTTCATCAGGCTCCTCTTGTGGATCTGCCCAATCGACAATGATATCACATCCCCAAACCTAAAATAAAAAATGATAATTTTTTATTAAATAACGTATTTAATTACAAATTATTGTCCAAACTTACCTTAGTTCGACCAGTGCCAAGTCGTCGTTTAGCTAATGAAGCGGCTTTGTGTGATTCATATTCGAGAAAACAGAAACCGCGATTCTTTTTCTTGTCGTCTGGTGAACTATAAATTATTACTTCAATAAGGCCGGCTAAATTATGAATGCGGGGGGAAAAAGGAAAATTCAAACGAAGTTTAATTAAAAAATTATGGCAAAATATAATCATAGACCTTGTAACAAAATCTCGGTTTTTTTATTTTTAGTAAAGTGTGTGTGGTAAAATAATAAAACAACAACGAAAAAATATACAACAAAAAATTGAATTTTCAAGGAGGTACGACCTGCCTTGGGGCCTTTTGCCTTTGGATTTGAAAATAATTTTGAAATTATTTTTCTTGAACACTTATTTATATCCATTTCATTAAAACCAATGCCAAAAACGCTTTTTGCTAATTTCTGATGACTTATTGTTTTAAAATTCTTAAAAAATTTGTGTTTTGTAATGCAACTAAAATTGAAAACTTATAAAACACTTATTTATTGTTTATTATTTTTAATTATGTTTTGTTTAGAATTTTTATTCTCTTTGTACATAGTTTTGGGATTTTTTATCTTTTTTTTTTTTAGTTTGAATTTTTTAAATTCTTATTTTGTAACACCAAAAAATATATATAACATAAAAATTACACATATGGAATATTGAAAAAAAAAATAAATAAATACGTATATTGTTCAACACAATTAAAACACATTTAGTTAAAAAAGAGACAAATACAGATAGAGAAATGTTGAGAATAATAATAGATGGGGTAGATATATTTATATAGATATTTGTATATAACTGTATAAAGTTTACATAAAATTGAAAAGTAAATTTAAAAGAAAAACACAGAACAATTTGCTTTTTTTAAGGTTAACAGCTTTTTCTTTTATTGTTGTTGAACGAAGTGTTTGTTGTGAAATAGGCTTTTAACCAATGAGAAATATACAATTTGTAGTTTTGAAATAACATTGGAAATGTATATTTTTTTTTGGTGGTGGTGGGAGGGAGTTGTACTTTTTTCTAGTAGCATTTTTTTATTTAATTTTGAAATTGTATAATATGTAGCCCTTGTTGTTGGTTTGTTAGCAGTATTTTGATTTTGCTTTGCATTTTGAAAAATGGTCTCCAGTCATTACCATTTTATTTATTGTTATTATGAGGTTTTTGGTTTAAATTTATTTTTATAATTGTTTTGTTTTTTTCGTTCCAGTCCATCAAAACAAGAAATTTTGATAAAATATAAAAAAAACAGGACATTTGTTGGTTTTTTTTTTGGAAAACTTTGTCGTTTGAAGAAAAAGGGCAAGTGGTTGGCCTAAGTTAATTTTTTTTCTTCTTCTTCAAGGGTGAGGTTAAAAGGTCATGTATTTATTTTATACTGATTAAACAAAAAAAAAAAAACACTTTTTTAAACACTCTTTGTGTAATTATGGCAAAAAAATGTAACACTAAATACAATTATATAGATAGTTTATGACAAAAAATGAAGCATACTTTAAGGCGCCAATAATATTTTCTCAAAGAATGATAAACTAACTGAGGGAATATTTTAAATCGATTCCAGATGGCTTAAAAATATTATTTAAGACATAATAATTTAGATATATTCGAATATATTTTAGAGAGAAACTATCAGGATATTATTGAAAATTGGTTCAAGTCACTTATTTGGCCCAAGGACGAACCCTATTGAAATTGAAGAAAATCGGGACAGATTTAGATAAAGCTCCCATATATATTTTCGTCCGATTTAAGGTAAATGGGACACCAATGTCGGTATATATCTTGAGATTTGCACGAAATTTGGCACACAGTACTGAATTAGGTCCAGAATGATGTGTGCTATGTTTCGTGAAAATCGGTTCAGATTTAGATATATATATCATATACAGTTTCTTCCGATTTAATGTAAATGGTGCACCAAAGTCCCTATATATATTTCGATTTGCATGAAATTTGGTATAGGGCACTGAATTAGGTCGAGGATGATGTGTACTAAGTTTCGTGAAAATCGGTTCAGATTTAAATATAGCTCCCATATATATTTTCGTCCGATTTAAGGTAAATGGGACACCAATGTATGTCGCTATATATCTTTCGATTTACACGAAATTTGGTTAGGGTACTGAATTAGGTCGAGAATGATGTGTGCCAATTTTCGTTTTTTGTTATAGCTCCCAGTTCGGATTTTGTTATAGCTCCCATATATATTTTCGTCCGACGTCTGTTAGGATACATGTGTAGAAAAAGTGGGGAAGGGTACCATATAGTTTATTTTTAAATTTTAAAATAATTTTTAGGGGATTTTTTTTTAATAAAACATTTTAACCTCAACCTTTTTGTTATATGTTTATTGTTGGTCAGGTGAAGATTATATTTCAATATTTATTAATTTTACATAATATTAATATTTTTTCTACATTTATATAAAATTATTGTTTTGTTTTATTTGATTTCGTTTTCTTTTTTTAATTGATCAATAATAGAGAGAAAGAGATAGAGATATATAAAAAATAAAATAGACCCAATAATAATTTTTTTTAAATGAATTATTAAATATTATTTAAAATTTTGTGGAAAAAATTTTCTTACCGGCGATTTTTGTACACAATTATTGTGTTGACAACTGTAGCTCTTCAATTGCATTATTTATTTAAAAAAAATCAGCAGAAAATTTCATAAAAAATAGTCTTATATTTTTAAGCGAATTTGGCATATGGTTTGTTTTTTTTTCAACCTTTTTTTTTTTTTTTTTTGTGAAAATAAATTTATTTATTTTTTAAAATTATTTTTTTTTTCTTATACAAAAAATTCTAAAAAATTGTCAAGCTACAGAGTGATGACAAGAGAAAGAGACAGATTACAATTAAAAATCGTTATTTTCAAATTTGTTGTTGTATTTATTTGCATTGTTGTTGTTTATAAAAATATAAATAATGGGAAAAATGTAATTTTTTTTCATACAACAAACAAAAATTCCAATTACAAAATTTCATCTTTTTCAATAAATTTCAATTAGATGCTTTTTTATTTTCTAAAAGAGAGAGAGACGGAGATAGTACACGCAAAATGGAGTTAAAAAATAGGGGGAAGAAAATATAATATTCACCTGAAGATGAAGATTTTGTAAGTAGAATTTTTGATGTTTTTTTGGTTTTGGATTCCAGAAAAGGAACTTATTAATATGTGTGTGGGTGTGTAAGAGAAAAGCGAAAATTGCAAAAAAATGTTTACACAAAAATCCAATTATACAAACCAATTGGCGTTTCTTTTTAAATCTTCTTTGGTTTTTTAAATTATTATAAACTAAATATTTTGTTCTGCAACTTACGCTTTATTATATAAGAAACCAATTCATATTGTTGTTATATTATTATTTACCAATTGTCACCAATTAACAATGTTATTGTTTTTTTATTGGGGAGAAGGGGTTCTTTTCACATTTTTTTTATTTGGGGAGGATATTTTATTTTTCAATGTTTGTCCTGTTCTTTTGTTTTTTTTTTAATATTACAAAATTATATATTTTTTTAATTTGTTTTTTTTTTGTTCAAAATTCACCACTTACGTGCATGTTTAGAAAATTCCTCAATTAATTCATCATGATCTCTATTCTTAGGTATATTGCCGACAAAAAGCCGGTGATTATTAAATGATATCGTAACACCAATCTTTTTGCCTTTCCGAATTTCATAATCATTCAGCTGGAAATTGTTAAAAAATTGTAGCAAATACAAAACAACAGATACACAAAACACACAAATATTGGGGGTGAGGGGTAGAGAAGAGAGAGAGGTTGGTTGGTGGGGAGAGATATATTTTTTGCACACACAAAATAAAACAAAAACTAATGATCGTTTGTCGATTTAGCTTCAGTTTTATGTTCAACATTTTCACATAATTCTTTTTTAAATTTTACTTCAAATATTTCGAAAAAGTGAAGGCTTTTAAAAATCACAGTAGGAATTTTTCCTACGACATTTTATTGTTTCTATAAAAGTTTTAAGATATTAAATATATTTAGTTATTAAATACGATTTAACTTTTTTTTTAAATTTCAAATAAAAAAAAAAATAAAAATTTCGCTAAAGTTAAATTTATTAACTTTACCCACGGAAAGCTTTTTTTATTTCTTCCTAGGATTTTTTTCTATTTTAATTTTAATCTATTATTAACATTTATTATTATTAAACTCCATTAAAATTTAAAAATTATTTTATATTCCATGTGAAAATGGTGTGCACAAATTTATATTATTTATTTATTTTGTTTTTTTTTGGGTCGGGCGGGGCTAAATTCGGACTTGATTTGAATGGTTGTTTTTTTCTTATTAACGTGCCAAATAATAATAATGAAAAAAAAAATAGAATTTGAAATATTATTTAAATAAAATTTTGGATATTTTCTGTTTGTCTTAAAAATACTAATATGTATACAATAGATATTTTTTTGGAAATATATAGAAATTTATGAATAGCATGGTTATTAAAAATTATATATATATTTTTTTAATCAAAAACACAAAAACCAAAATGCGAATTTTTCTACATAATTTATAAAAAATAAAATTTTGAAATGTATATATCTGGGAAAAAATTATGAGCACTTTTAACAAATTCCTACTGAGTATGGTTTTAAAAAATATAAATATTTTAAAAAATATATTTAAAAATATATATATTTCTTATATTTTTTTTTTTTTTTTTGCAAATTGTACAAGAATTCATCGGATCTAAGTGATGATTAAATAATTCTATTTCTTCATTAATAAGTCTATATGAATTAATAACAAAGCCTACATGTTCTCGGAATCCATTAAAAATTTAGACCTTACACATACATTACTCAATCATTTCAGACCCAGCTCAATCAATTGAGAGTGAGATCTTAAAATAAAAATAAAAATTAATTGGGAACGTAGTGAACATGTGCCACCTGCTCCAATTTTTCTCTTCAAATACATCAGACAAATTATTAATGTATTTTGGGTCTGAAAAGGGTTAAATAAAATCTTAAGGGGGAAACTCAAACGAAGATTTAGGCCTGTCCAGTTATATTGGCTTCGTATGAATTGTCAATTTATAAAGGAATATCAGAGTCAAACTTGAATTTGGACGCTGTTCTCCTGTATTCTTTTACAATAAAAGAAGCCAATGTTAAGTTGTCAAGCCTGTTTTCCCTTTAAGCAATCACATGACAAAAAAATGTGGATATGGTTTGGAAAATATAACAATGGCAGATCAACAATATCGAAACTTGTTTTAATTTTCGGAAAGGATTCCTTCCGTTTGGTCTTAACATGTGACTACAAACGGTTCGAAAGAAGATGAGAGTCTAATAAGAATTGCTTCCTTTCCCATTCAATGTGGTCTTAATGGTGTATAGAAAGTGAAGCATACTTTGAGGCGTAACAAATATCATAGTGCTGTGGAACGTGAATCTTTACAAAGGGAATATTTAAAGAAAAAATAATGAAAAAAAGAATAAAAATGATAAAAAATATGCTCATGATACTCATGGACAATATATAAAAAAATTCTGTAGGCCTATTCTATTTTTTTAATTTAAAGAAGTATGTAAAAGTATGTGTTTTATAATTTATTGATGCACTACAATAGGGTCCCTAGACTCAATTTTACGATAATGGAGAATATAGATCCAATTTCTTCTACAATTTGCCATTATGAAAAAAAATATATTTTTTATTATTTATTTTTTAAATAGAATTTAAAGAAGTATGTTTGTATGTAAAAGTATGTGTTTTATGATTTTTTCTATACTGTGTTGTAGGCAAATTAAAATTTTGTATTAGAATTTAAAAATATATTTATTTGAATATTAGAAAATTGTTTTTTTTTTCTCAGAAGTTAAATACACAAGTTAATGACTGGAGATTTATAGTGGCATAAAAATAGATTACTTTTTATTTAATTTATTGTGAATTTATAAATAAAAAAATTAATGAAATTAAATGAAGGTACTTCTTTAAATTTTTTTATATATAAATGGAATTGTGTATTATTACATATATGATTTTTTTTACATATAAGAATTTGTGTATTATTAGAAATATGATTTTTTGTGAATAATTGTATTGAATTGTTATATACAAAAAGTGTGTGTGTGTGTGTATAAGAAGCATAAATATAAATGAAATATTGAATTTTATTTTAAAAAGATGAATAAATTTGAAAAAAAAAATTGAAGAACAATACAGGGGACACAGTAAATAAACTTGGGGACATTATTACAAGATTTGTTTAAATAAAACACAATTAAAATAAAACAAGGTGGTGTCTAGTATTTATTGTGGCATATTTTAAGATTGCCTATTAATAGTATAAGGTTGTTGATAAACCTTATACAAATATATTTTCCATATTTTTTGTAAGATAATTTATGGATTTTAATATATTTGAAAACGCAGCATCCTTATGCCATCTAGACCATCTAAAAATATGTCTGAAATTATATATAAATTTGAAAATGCTGGTGTGTAGAATTTATTGCAGCATAGTTTTAGGTGTCCTCTTAATAGTATAAGAATGCTGATGAACTCTTTTCAAATATAGTAAAGCCCATATATTTTTTTAAGATAATTTAAAGATTAAAATTTTTAATATATGAATTTAAAAATATATGGATTTAAATATATTTGAAAAAGTTTTATCACCATGTTCATACAATAAATAGGCCACCTAAAAGTATGCTACAATAAATACTTGAAGCCAGCATATCCACATTTAAATAATTTTAAACAATTTCCAAATAATTATTAATTATCCCCAGTATTGCTCTTTCATCCTCACAAATTTATAGAAAAAATATATATAAAAATGTCAAATATGTATAACGCAGAATTTGAAAAGATAGTCTCGGTTTAATGGGGTGGTAATTTGGTGCAAATGAGGATGGATGATGATTATTTTTATATAAAAAAAAAAATAAATGAATTGTGTTATTAAAATTATATATCATTAATAAAGCGTAAATTATAATAATATGATTAAACAACACAGTGGTACATTTGATAAAATAATGGTTTTTAAATTTGGTATATATATACGTTTAAAAATTATTTGTTATAAACAGGACGGGTTGTCAGGTTGAAAATGTTTTATATATGTCAATGTTTGCATCAAGAGCCTATAATGAAAATTCATTTTTTTATTTGTCATTTAAATTCAAGGAGATGACAATTAAAATAATGAAATTTCCATTTAAAAAAACAAGTGATGTAAACATAGCATTACAAATAAATAGTTTATGAATATATTGCCTACTTTTAGGCGCCAAGACAACAGTTCAAAGAGCAACGCAGTTAAAGAGAAACCCTAGAATTCAACGTAGTATTTTTTATTAATAAAAATATATCAGAAATCCCCCACAGCCAATTGGTATTATATATAGCCAATTATTATTTATATAGCCAATTGGATTTTTGTTTTTATAGCCAATTTGCGTATTAATATAATATTACATATTACGCTTACCATATAATAATATTATAATAGATACAAAATTGTATCCATCATAATATATTTTATTAAATTTTAATAAAAAAAATAAATTTGTAATAGAATTTCGTTTTGAATTTACCTGTTAATTTACCAAATTCCTCTAATATCTCCTCTTTGCCTTTTGATTTGGGTATATTGCCTACAAATAGGCGCAGGTTGGGCACACTTATATTTATTTTCAGACACTTGCCGGGTTTTATTTCATGATTATCGAGCTAAAGGTGGTGGTAGTTATTTGTTCAGGGTCGGGGTTGTGTGGTTTGTTGGGGGTGGTGGTGGAAGAAAAAGAGAGCATGGGGAAAACAAAAAATAATAATAATAACAATAATATTTGGGAATTTGATTTGATGTTGGATATTAATGTGATAAAAAAATTAATAAATAATTGTAATAATAATAAAAATGAAAGGAAATACAAAATGAAGAAATGAAAAATATTTTTTTTTAATACAAATAAATGAAAGAAATTGAGTTTGAGTGAACAAATTAAAAAGGGGTGGCAATACGAAATTATAAAAAAATCAGAAATTAATAAAGAAGAAAAAATTAAACTAAAAAAGATACACTAAAGAAGGACACAAAATTAATAAACTACAAATATAAAAGAAGATGATTGGGATTTTTCTTTCAAAGCAAAAAATGTCAATTGCTGCCTAAATTCGTAAGTCAGTGGACAAATATTATAAAAAAAAAATATTTAAATATTTAATGAACCAATGTCAATTGTTGCCTAAATTCGTAAGTAGGTGCACAAATAATATTAAAAAATATTTAAATATTAAAAACAAATGAACCAAGTGGACTGACATCATCATCATCATCATTTTGCTATTACTTATTTGACTTCGATTCAAAAACTGATTATAAATATAAACTCAAAAATAATTGTGGGTATATTTTTCCATAGCTTGGCAGAACTTCTTTGAATTTGATTCAAAAACTGATTATAAATATAACCTCAAAAATAATGGTGGATTTCTTTTTCGATATTTTGACATCACTTCTTTGACTTCGATTCAAAAAGTTATTATAAATATAGCCTCAAAACTAATTATGGAGTCCATATTATATCCCCATAATTTTCTCGCTTGAAATCTAACCTTTCTTTTCCCAAACGTCAAAGCCAAGTTAATCTCGTTACGTTACGCAGTTGACTAATTAGAATTCAAATGTGATAAAAACGTTTGCAGTCGATAAAACCGCATCGCAAAATATACAAACATTATTCTAATGACATGTTTCCACAACATGACATTTCTGTATTATTATGACATGTTAATAAAGAACATAAATCACTTATGGCATGTTTACACGATATTCTAAATACAAAGACATTTTGTTATAAATTTCTAAGCAAAAAAATTAAAAATGGTCACATCCCAGATATTTCCGTTACGTTACGTTGTTGACTAATTAGAATTTAAATATGATAAAAACGTTTGTTTGATAAAACCGTATCACAAGATATACAAACAATATTCTAATGGCATGTTTACACAACACGACCTTTCTGTTTTATGACATGCTTATATAGAAAATACTTTGCTTATGGCATGTTTACACGTTACATAAAATGCAAAGACATTTTATTATAGATTTCGAAGCAAATTTTTTTTTTTTTTAAATTTTTTGACACATTTAAACGTCATAAGATTTGAAAATGTGTTTCATCCGGTTCACTTCCGAATCAAATGTTAAAAAATTATTTTGAAATATAATTTAATTTGTGTTGTGTCAACTTGGAATTTGGAATCAGAAAAATTCATTGTGACCTCCATGTGTCATTTGGTTTCAAAGCTAAGCTCAATTCTATGCAGCAGGTGACTTTTGAACACCTGCAAATGAAATAAGTCAAATTCTTTAAATTATTTCAGTGAATTCATGAGAAAAATATCTTCCACTTAATAACAAATAAATACTTGTCATTTTTTGGGATCAGCTGATTTGACAATTGTCATTTGTTTTTGTTTTACCAAGAAGAAGAAGAACAAATATTAACAAATAAAAGTGACTTAATTTAAACGAAAAAAATGAAATTACTTAAAATGAATCAGCTGATTCAACACTGGACATTTTTGCTAAGAATGAAGGAATCAGCTGATTTAACAATTGACATTTTTTGCTAAGAAGAAGAAGAATAAATAACAACAAATAAAAATTACTTAAATGAAATAAAAAATGAATGTTAATTAAGGTTCCATAATAATGAAATGTTGTGGATGGATGATTTGTGTAATTACCAATTTTGAATTTCGATGTTAAAAATATGCCAAAAATCTTTGCAGCGTTCCAAAAATATATTTTTTTATGTTAATAGAAAACAATTGTTAACTAACTTAAATAAGAAGATCGGAATGTGTAAGGGGAGAAAAATGGAAATTTAATTAATTTTTAGGTTAGAATGAGGGCATGCTCGTTTCGTTTCTTTGAATTTCTTTTTTTTAGTAAAATAAAACCAGACAATATATAAAAAAAACTAACAGGAAGGCAAGAAAAATTTGTCTTCTTTCAAACTACATGGAAAATGAGAGAAAGAGGAGGCGAGATATATGGCGATGAAAAATTAGACAAACAGATTAGAAGAAGAAAAAAAAATATTTTCCTCTTCCGTGTTATCTGTTCGAAATCAAATAAAGAGAAGATTAAAAAAAAAAAAAAACTATGGAGATGACAGTGAAATATGGAAATGTTATAGAGAAAAATCAACTCTGCTACAATAGTTTCCAATTAAAGAAAAAAACTAATCGTTTTCAAACATCCATGTGACAAATAGTTTAAATGCAACGATGTTGGTTGGTGGTGATGATGGTGTATGCAAAGAGGAGAGAAATGAATATGGAGGAGGAGATTTTTTGTATTCATTACATAATAAATTGCGCCTTGCACTGTAATAAAAATAAATTTAGCATGTTGATTTGTAATGTAAATTCCTGCTAGTGTCAGGTTTGGAGGCAGGCAATTCCAAAATAAATGACCCAGAAAATGTTTGCCAAATGTATGAGGAAAAAAATGAAGAAATAAAAAGTATTGTCATCGTTGTCGGGTTCAACAACATTCCTTGTTGCAAGTGGAAAAAATATGGAAAATAATTGCGCAAATAACAATAAAAAAATAACTTATAAAATAGGTTTTAATTAAAGGAAAGGATAAAAAGGGTTAATATAGAGTAGAGTTGGTTCGTTCCGTAACGTAGGAACTACTAGATTCGTTTCTTTTGTTCATTTTGCTCTTTAACTAGTTCATAGGAACTATTTCACAAAATAAACGATGGGTGCTAGTTCCTTTTTCTTTAGTTCATCTAGTTCCTTTTGCTCAAGTCGTTCATGTTTTGCTCTCGTTTAACTAGTTCCTTTCGATCAAATCCCAATCATTTAGTTTCTCGCGGTTTATTGAGCGAATTGTTAAGAAGAGTGAAAAACAGCTGGTTTTTCCCAATTGAAGACAATTCACAATAATGGATTTTGACAGCAAACTTGAGATCACAGCTGATCCTCCCTAGGGTGACCTTATATAATAGGCCTTGATAGTGGTCAGTTAATTCGGTCAATAAACGGGAAATAAGATGACCGAAATTTTTCTTAAATGAAATCAATTCACAAATTCTCAAAGTGAAAACAATTCACATTAATGGATTTTGACAGCAAAGTTGAGAAACAGCTGATTCTCCTGGGCGACGATCTGTTAAATAGACTTTGATTTTAGTCACTTAATTCAAAACAATATGAGCAGACATTTTTCAAGTGAAATCAATTCACAAACTTGAGAAACAGCTGATTCTCCTGGTTGTCATTAATTAATAGAACATGATTAATACCAAGATCTATTAACAAGGTCAAGCCGAAGTCAGCTGTTTTTCTCAAGTGTAATGTCAAAAATTTTGAATAATGTATTTTGACAGCAAGCATGAGAAACAGCTAACAGGGTGACCTTATTTATAGAACTTGATTGGCACCAGTGAACGATTGAACTAAAAGGAACTGTTGAACTAAATGAAGTAGCTTCATTAACCAACTCTAAAATCTGACCTTAAAAGGGGTAAATATTTACTAATTAAAATTTTTTCATTACAGGATACATTACAAAAAAGAAAAGGGATGAAAGAAAATTAAATAAAATAAAAATAATGCAAGGGGAAAGGTTTTGTGTTTCAATTGATATTTTTTGGGGTTTAACAAATTTGGGATTTGGAATTTTGGGTATAATTTTTTTTTACTCAAAGAGACTTCTTTTCAAATCGCAAAAAATCATGATGGTTTTCGTAACACATTTCAAACTTAGATCGTAACAAAACTTTTCGCTTTGTCTATATATAGCTGAAAGATAATAATAATACAAAACTCATGCAAAACTTGCATCAAGCCATTAAAATAAAATAGAAATTTAGCAACAACTAAGTATAGATTTAAAGATTATGGATTAAAAATTAAACTTCAGATGCAAATATCAAATGAAGTTGAATTATCAAGTCTTTAGATAGATTATTTTACAATTTAACTAGAAAAAGGATATACATATATTAAATATATAAGCATATAAGAAGCTTGAAGATGTAAACGAAATAAAAATAAATTTTATTCCAATTTTTTTTAGTTCATATCTGTAGAATATATATAGATAGATACCTAAAATTACAATTTCAACCAATAGTTGTTTGCCTAAACAAGCCAAAATCTTTAGAATTATAAAAAATATATTAAAAATTAAACCTAAAAGATTCAATTAATACTTGTTTTTATATTAAAAATACATTTTACAATTGTGGCAAAAAAGAAATACAGTATGTGACAAATAGGAATAATACGGGGGGAAGAAAATAGTGACAGTTTGATATAAATATAGACAGAGAGACAGATCGAGAGAGAACAACACAATCATTTTAAATCCAAAATAAGTGTAAACATACCTGTTTAACGGCATTTGATGCAGCTTCTCTTGTGGTGAATGTTACAAATGCATAGCCACGATTTGTACCGGTCATGGGATCCATCATTAATCGTAAATCCCATATGGTGCCACAATTTTCGAACAGAGGTATTAGTTCATCTTCAAACATATCTTTAGGTATTTTCCCACAAAATACCTCGCAACCATTACCTGGCACAGGACCATCCCAATTGGGTGGTGGTCCACCATATTTGCGCTGGCCTATATAAATATAAAGTGGAATAATTAAATATCGTATAAAATAAATTGCTACGATGGAGATTTAAAATGTAATACCGAATATTTTGAGTTAATATTTCAATTTTCAAAATTATTTCAATTATAAACTGATCAAAATTATCTCTGAAATACAACTCTGAAATGAACAGGTCACTATTGTGATTGATCGTGTGTTTTTATTGTTAATTAAAAATAATATAAATACAAAATAATGAAAATCGAAACAATGAGAATTAGAAATGAGTAACTAAATATTCTGATTTAATATTTGTTTTCAAAAAATCAAAATAGTCTTTGGAATACAACACTGAAATATACAGCTGACTATTGTGAATGACAATATGTTATGTCATGTTCCTATAGGATAGGTAGTTACCTAATTAAGATTGTCTATTCAAATATTCATTAAGGAAACCAATATAAGAGAGAATATTCGGCTAAAGAAGACTTTACGTTTCTCAACAATAATTTATTGCGATTGATTACTGCCTTAATGACTTGTTCGTGAGGAGGTTTAATACAGTTGCCGATGTCAATTAAATACATGTCAAATTATTTGTTTAGGATACCTATTTTTAAATTTTTCTTTCAGATAAACGTTTCTTTTTTAATCATTTTTTCATTTCTATTTGTTTTATCATATTTTCATTTCAATTTTTATTTCAAATTTATTATTTATTTTTGTTGTATTATTATTATTTTGTGTGTGAATCACTTACCCGTGGTTACATCTAAAGTATAACCGGTACGTTCTAAGATTTTTTTGATTTTCTCCTCATCGGGTCCCTTAACTTGCACTGTTGTGGCCGGTGTCGGTACACCTTGTTGACTGGCTCGACTCTTTTGTCGATAGGTTTTCATAACCCCACATAAATAGGCAGATTTATTCGATACATGTTCCAAATTTGATTCAAGGAACTGACTTAATACATTCAAGGCACCATCAACCGGAAACTCTTTGAGCGCATCCAGTGCGCGTTCATCTAATTCTACATGGGCGAGTTTACCTGTTTTATAAATATCATCAAGTTTACCGGCAACCTGGGAATATGAAATAAAACAACACAAATTAGATATTAATAAAATACGAATACAAATTAAATATTAAAATATTTTCATATTTTTTCATCGTTAAATTCTGAAATTTTACTTACTTTTTTATCTAAGCCATATTCCAATAGTTTTGGATAATCCTCTGTTCTTTCACCATCGCCACGATCTTCTGATTTTTGATTAATATCTTCTACCAGTTCGCCATTGCCTTCCGCCATTTCTGTAAAAGAAAACAAAAGAAACAAATTGGTTAAAATCTATTTGTTTAAATATTTTTTATTTAATTTAAGGTTTATATCTTTTATTTATGAAGAAAACAGTATCACCCTGTAGTTTAAGGGACAAATTCGTGTAATTACGGCACTGTGTAATTTCGCCCAATATGGTAATTATCATATAAACAGTGCTGCATAACCGGTCCTGGTGAATGCACATCATATGTTCTCCCACCAACATACTTGACAACGTATAGAAGTACAAAAAAAAAAAAAAAAAAAAAAAACAGTGCTGTGTAAACTCAGCAATGTGTAACTACGGCCAATATGACACACATCATAATAACAATGTCTCAATGTAAACTTATTACGAGAGGAACGTTTCTAACAATTCTTAAAGCTATCTGGCCACACATCAAATTAAATCCATAGAAGTAAAAAATACAAGGTTTACAGCCGCATTTACACCAATACATGTATAAATTACATGTATTTTATCATATCAATTGTTACACTAGGTTTACACTATACATTTATTTTTCACGATAAAAAAATGCATGAGTAATATGGGACAATTAAATATTACATTTTATTTATATATAAATTTTAAGGGCACAAAACAACAAAAATAAATATTTGCATGTCAAATAAAATGTCATTCTCTAGAGAGATACTCCAGATTGCAGATCTTTGTGTTGTGATTGATTTACAAAACAAATTTCCGTTTAGATTTTTTTTCAAAACAACCACAAAAAAAATGTTTTGTAAACACATTAAAGCAGAGAATATTTAACCCACAAATATCACCTTGAAAGTTCAATGAACGTTAACCAGAAAAAAAAAAACATTTGCAAATTAACTCGTAAAACAATAAAAACAAACAAAGAAATTTTCGGCTTAAATTGTTATATTACCACGATCATCATCATTAGCATATGTTTGTGTATGCATGCAGCAGCACGCATAGCAAGCGGAAAACCACCCCGCTTTACCACACCCTGCAGGAGGAATGGCAAGCAAGGGGCAGGGTTATCAAAAAAACTTAGTATAAGGTTAAGTGAATGGCCGACCAAGCACCACACCGCATTGATTGGTGTTCCGCGAAAAAAATATGTATTTGAACTACAATTGTAAAAAACTCAGTCTGCCAGTCAGTTAGCGCGTACACATCATCGAATCGTTAAATCACCAAATGTCTGGCATTTGCAAAAAACAACTACAAACAACAAATCTGTCTCGAGTACAATGAACCCGATCCGCTGCAACAGCACACTCACACCGCACAAAATGCAATTAGCATGATTTTGTGTGGCAAACAACATCATAATGATGTTGCTAGTCAGTCAGCCGTCTGTGGCATGCATCACAACATTGCATTGTTAGGCTAAATGCCTATATATTCATTATTATCTCTAAGTACATCATTAAATATTAGACAAGAGTTCTTTAGTAGATTATCATCATATAAACCATGGCAGACAAGCAGAAGACACATTAGGAAGGATAAATGTTGGCAAAGGTAGTTTTCTAGCTACACACTCTAACCCAGTGGGGGAAAATATGCGTAAGGTGCGTGTAAAAGCTATTGAAAGACTTGCAATAACTTTTATATTTAGGTAACAGTATCATCCGACAAGGATAAGAAGCCGTCTCCGGTTATGATAGAGAAACCGGAATTTTTTAGACCTTATTTGAAGGTATTTTATTATTAGATTACAATTTTACAAATGTCAACCACACAACTTGATGTGCGGATGGCCATCCTATATTAAGAATTTCATACAAAACTTGATGTGTGGCCAGTTACCAATATAAACGCTCGTTTAGACTACAGCTGTTATCGTCATAATGTGCATTATCTTGATTGAATTGCTAAATCGAACTGAATTTAGCGGGAATTATTTTTTTAATACACATTTAATAAATTGCCTAAAAATTTGCACTTCGATTTTAACAAGACTTGTCAACAAAATTTTATGTTTGCCTGTCCACCCTCAATATTAAAAGATTAATAAAAACATCTGCTCGTTAATACACCTTTAAGAAAACTACAGATGTGGCCATTTAAAATTATAAATAAACATTTTCCATCTATTTTAAATCACAAATTTAATCAATTTTCTCAATAATATACGCCTTATTTTATTTATTTGCCATATACACAAAGAAAATGGCAAGCTAAACGTCACATGCGGTGTAAATACGCCCTTACATGTGTTTTCTAATTAAATTGATTAACTGTCACACATTATTATTTACATTTCAAAGTTGGTAACCCTGCGTTGTCATATCTAACAACAGTTTTTGTTGTTGGTATGCTGTTGCTAATCAAGCGCCCCCCATGTCATTCAAAGAGCATAAGTTCAAATACCTCACTTATAATTAGACACAAACAAAGAAGCTGAACCAAATACATAATAATAGGCCTACAATAGAAAGAAAAAAACAAACAAACCGGCAAAATTTGCAAAACAAAACAAATATAAGAAAAAAACAATAAACAAAACAAACAACAAAAAAGAAGGCTAGACAAGCAAGCAATGTATCAAAAAACAAATTGTGTGATAGATGGCGGCGGGTGTGTGCGTGTGTGATTTGTGTTTTACATGGTTCTCCTCCCCCACCACTACTCTCCCGCGCTTTTCTGTTAGTTTTATAATGTCAATTAAGTGTTTAACGAAGAAGGGGGCAAAGAGCTACTCATTATTGTTGTTGGGTGAATTGATAGTCCCACCATATGTGTCAATTGATTGACCATAACTAAACATGAAATGAAATGATGACGTCATTTAGACACTAGGCAAGCCACAAATCTAATATTTTTTTAATGTGAAATTGTTGTTGTTGTTTTTATTGCTGCTGATGAATGTTTATGATTAAGTGTTGATGTCAGTGGGTCGATTGGTTTTTGTGTATGAGATACAGATAAAGAAAGAGAGAGGGGGAGAAAGGGCAAAGGTTTTATTGTGGCAATTTGGAAAAACAAAAAAGGCCGAGAAAATTAAAAATTTATTGAAAATCGTTTAATAATTTTTTAAAAATAAATTAATGAAATAATTAATAAATATTTTTTTTTTTTCAATTAATTCTCAATCAATTTTGAAGTGTAAGAAAAGTCTCCTCGATAGGTTTGGTGTGAGATAAAGGCAGAGAAGGAATTAATTAGCTAATAATTCAAGTATGAAATTAACAAATTATTGAATATTGTTAAAGAATTTATTAATAATAAATTAATAAAATAATTAAGATAATTTTCTACAAATTTCCCTTTTTTGGAGCCATTAAATTTTTAAAAGCAACATCTCTCTCATGTTTCTGCTCTGCTGAGTGATGCTTGTGATGTGTTGCCAACTTCCTTTCATTATAATGCTTGTAATATAGAGCTGCCGGGCCACATAGCAGCAAATTAAAGCAATTAGATGATCATAATTAAATGTAATATTCAAAAGAAATAACAATTATTCCTAATAATACCAATTTGTAATATAAATCACTTCCACCCAAAAAAATCAATGTTTAAACAAATTAATTTATTTATAATATGTTTTGTGATAATTATTAAAAAAAATGCATACATAATACACAAATTATCACTTCTTTTTCCGAAGCAAGCTTGCTTGCAAAGTGACGGAATATATTAAGTGTTGTTGTATTGTATTTCAATTTCTATAAATTTCTTTGTTAAAATTCTTTAGCGCGCGCTTTTTCCCCTACTCCTCCACTACCTTCTGTTCACACAGAGACACGTCATAACAACAATACAAAAAATTTTTCAATGTCAAACAAATAAAAAATACATATATACATAAATAACAACACACACGTACACATGTTTACTGCTATATATCTACATATATATATGATAGGGAGCGAGAGATAAAGAAAGGCGATTTTTTTTTTTGAAAGAAATGAAGAAGAAAAAATGAAATTAAATTGAAATTTCGAGACCAAACGACTGATGGATATGTATATTTTAATTGTTAACTGATATATGCACTTTGTGAGAAAAGTGGAAATTATTTATATGATTTTTTTAGAATCAAAATATTTTGTGATAATTATAAGAAATAAAATTGGGAATGTTATTTGGGATTATTAGAAAGTAAAATTGCCTCAATAGTTTTTATAGAGGAAACAAAAAATGAACTCCCTAATTTCTTTTTCTTGAATACAACACTATTTTTTCGCGTTGCCAACAGTAAAAGTCTGTGCAGATATACTTTAATTATTTAATGATAAATTAATATTAAGAGAGAGAATTTTTATTAATTAGAACTTGAACTTTTTAAAATTTATATTATATATATCTAATTTGAAACTCGTAGATTTTTCTCGAATACAAGATTGTATTTTCGCGTTGCCAATACCTTTTTCGGCACATAATCTAAAGTAAAATAATAATCTTTTGGAGAGAGGAAAATTAAAACCAAATTAATGAGGTATCATATAATGAAGTCCCCTGTGTTATGTTTTGAGCCTTCCGCGTTGCCAACATATTTGTAATAACAAGTTTTTTTAATAATCACGGAAAAAACTATTGCCAATAACTGATTTTGATAAAGGTTTAAACAATGAAGTCACCTGACGACATATCAAATACTCCTAGATTTTTGTGGAACACAACATTGTGTTTTCGCGTTACAAACACTTCTTGGAGAGAAGAATATGCAAAACAATTAATGAGGTATCATATAATGAGATCCCTTGGGTAATGTTTTGAGCCTTTCGCGTTGCCAACATATTTGTAATAACAAGTATTTTAATAATCATTCAGAAAACTATTAACAAAAACTGATTTTGATGGAAAAGGTTTAAATTATGAAGTCACCTGACGACATATCAAATACTCATAGATTTTTGTCCAATACAACATTGTTTTATCGCGTTGCCAACACCTATTTGGCACATAATTTAAATAAAATATAATCTCTTGGAGAGACGAAGAAAGGCAATTGATGAGAGGTCAAATAATAAAGTCCCTTGGTAATGTTTTGAGCCTTTCGCGTTGCCATAATATTTGTAATAA